AAATTTCTCACTTAATGTTTTAATAGTTAAAGTCTTCTTGAAATATGTTTCAATCTTACTTAGATTGCCCTGTATGCATGTCATTCCACAAAAATGCATGTTAATACCTGCTAAGAATATACTTGTTTCTCTGATACCTAGATTGTCTTCTCAGAACTGAATATAAATCAAATATCATAGGAATTAATTTCTGCAACCCCGACTGTCTTCTCAGAACTGAATATAAATCAAACATCATAGGAATTAATTTCTACAACCAATTCTGTCACTTTCATTCAAGCAGTGAATCATTACCTAATATTTTAATTTTTGTTATTGAAGTTTGAGATAACTGGGAAAACAATTTTTTTATTCCTTCCAAAATAGTTAATTTCACTAAAAAGTCTGGTAACCAAAGGAACGTATAAATAGAAGAACACACACACTGAACACCTAACTAAATCACCTAACAGGCATGGTGGTTTTTGCTTACAATTAGGGAAATTTTCAGTCAGAAAGGAAGGAAAAAAGCCTTTAAATTGAGACTGTTGTAAGCAAATCAAGGTCCATATAAATGTAATAATAAGAGCAAATATTGTCTTCGTGGCAGTTATGAGCCTGATATGTGCTAGACAATTTCAAGCTGTCTATGATTTTATTATTTTAAAAAGAGAGGAAACTTAGCCTCATAAAGGTGATAACTTGTCCAAGAGTATATATATCCATGGTGTGATAGATAGAGCTTCAATTATATTCTGACCCCCAAAGCCATTTCCTACTGTGTCATACTACATTGTCTCAAAATCCTATTATGTGAATTCTGAAGTTTATACTTGGAGAACAAAGAATGTTTCCCATGGACCAAATATAAACCATTTGGGTAAAAAGTCAGCCTACAGTTGCCTTACAGCCTGCCTGCCCAAGAGGGCCTCCTGGAGGAATGTGAAGATCTCAGCAGGAAAATAAAAAAAAACAATAACGAAACCATAAAACTAGGGACCATACTAGACATCTATGAATAAAAATCAGAAGCAGATAACTGGAAGGGACAATTTGCTCCTGATAGGAACCCATGAGTAACAGATTGCCAGTAATGGTGCTAGGGTTTGGTGGCCTTCAGAGATTTCATTGAAACTTCTCTCAATAGAGAAAGAATCAGCTTTAACCAACTATCAAACCCAGAGGATGCCAATCCTAGATAATGAGAAAGTACAAGTTAAGTAAGATTTTTCCTTCTTTTTTTTTTTTTTTTTTTAGACGGAGTTTCGCTCTTGTCGCCCAGGCTGGAGTGCAGTGGCGCGATCTCGGCTCACTGCAAGCTCCGCCTCCCGGGTTCACCCCATTCTCCTGCCTCAGCCTCCCGAGTAGCTGGGACTACAGGCGCCCGCTACTGTGCCCGGCTAATTTTTTCTATTTTTAGTAGAGACGGGGTTTCACCATGGTCTCGATCTCCTGACCTTGTGATCCATCCGCCTCGGCCTCCCAAAGTGCTGGGATTACAGGCGTGAGATTTTTCCTTCTATGGTAGACTGAATAATGTCTTCCTGTCCGAAATGTACACACCCTAATCTCCAAAAACGCACATGGATTTTGCAGATGTGATTAAGTTACAGATGTTGAGATTAAAAGATTGTCCTGACTTATCCATGTGGGCCTAATATCATTACTTGGGTCTTTAGGCAAGGGAGGCAAGAAGTCAAAGGCAGAAGGAGAATGCAACGTCAGAAGTAGAGGCTGGATCTGATGAAGAAACCTAGCGAGGGGAGGAAGAGGAGGTTAATTTTAGGTAGGGAATTAAGCAGGACAGCAAAAATAAAGTAGTTCATGGCTTCTTCCAACTGTAGGTGTCTAGCCCAAAGAAGTTCCAGGGTGGCTTCCGTATATTAATTACTGAACTAATTAAGAAGTGACCAAAGGATGTTTTGTTACCTAGGGGTTTGGGGACTTGCACTGGACTTTACCTAGTGGTCAGAGATTGGCAAGACTGTACAAGAAATGGAGAAAATAAATAAAGCTGTTTTCTGATTACATCATATGAATCCTAATTTTCCAAAATTATAGTACCACATGTGAACAGGGCCCCCTTTGAATTAGGTGACTGAATTAGTTTGTCTCTTCATTCTCCAGGGCTTAGGCTTCCTCCTACACTCCTATTTTCCTAACTCCTGCCAAATCTTTGCATTGCCTCCTTTCTCCAGTATCTGCTCCAATGAAGTTCTCAGTGTCCAGGTTCCCCACATTTTGCCCTGACTACACTAGGTGTTACCAGCCTTTCATAATCCCTTTTGTTTATAAAAATAATAACTTTGTAGTAATTGTCAAAGTATATTTTTAAAACACAATTGTCACACACACAGCACATATCAAAGTTTTACTTAACTCAGTAATGAGGAAGCTAGTAGAATGAAAAATGAAAACCAGGGATTTAATATGGTCAATAAAAAATGGTGCTGACATAAGATTGCTAAATTAGATGATAAATGGATTATACTTTACAGGGCAGTATAGCTATAACTTTGGAAGTCATCAACCATAAAAAATAAAACAATTCAGTGTACCTAATCAATTCTCTACAACTCACATTCTTAAATACAGAGTTGTAAAATGCCTGTGTACTAGTCAGTTGTGATTACTAAAGTCAAACAAAGGTACATTTTCTAAGAGTCATATGACTCTGAGGTAGGTGTGTTAGAGAATGCTCTGGCATAATTTTAAAAGGTTGCATAATCATCTTTCTGCTTCATCTCCAAGATGAGGATAATTCTTTCTAACATCATAAGCAAATCAGTAAAGAATTTAAAATTTACTAAATACATTGAAATTACAAAATAAATACTGATTTCAAGAACAGCAAAATTTACTAAATAATGATAGACTTCTGATTAAAACAAAATTTATGTTTACTTAATACTTATGCTAGATTGTGCCACATCAGTTTGGTTAAAATGGGATTTGTATTTTCCTGAATCATCTTCTCTGAGTGGTGGCAGATGTGATTTGGAAGGTAGAGGTTTAATATTAGCCATGATGCTCAGAAGGACATTGGGGTCAGTTATGGTGATGCTCATTTGCAGAGGTGCCTAGAAGATTCCCAACTCATCTTTATTGTCCTCTGTTGTGACCAGCTTGCCATCCCCACTGAGGGCCACGCTAAATAACAGTTTCTCCAGGCCCACAAACAGATGTTTGGCTACAACCTCATAGAAGTAATGCCTACACAGAGGTAACAGCTTCTTGTAGGCATCTCCATGGCATCCCCCTCTGCACAAACTTCATTGTCTGGGCAAAACTAGTATTTACTTTCAAGCTCTGACTTACCCACACAGTACTTGCCAGTGTTTTTGGCAGACAACTGGTTAATGACTCTGTCTGATCCCCTTCCTCCTGGTCCAGACCTTCACTTCACTCGCTCCTCCAACATCCTTGTAAGGTCAAATCACTATAGTAAATCTCTTGTTCCCCAGATATTCAGAGTGGCTCTTTTTTTCTGACTAAACACAGACTGATGCATTCCTATTATTTTACAACTATGATCTCTAATTTCAACGCACTCAGATGAGATATTTCCAACCATATTCTGACACAAGTCTATTCACTAAAATGATGATAGGATGACGATGATGATGATGATGATGATGATAACTAACACTTGCTAGAAGGCTGGCATGATTGTAAATGTTTTGCTGCCAAATGCTCAAATGTTTCTCAACTCTTAGAGACTTTGTCCATTGTCTCTCAAAAGGATATCATGTTTTAGAATGTTAAAAAATATTACTCTCAATCCTGGGTCATATTGGTGTGAAAGGATCAGAGGAAAATCTAGAGGGATGATGTGGGTAGTTAAGTGAATCTGGAGCCTGTTTTATTCGAGTAGTAGGGCAGCCCCTAGGTAACTATCATTACTGGTTTTCTCAAATATTAAGAACCAGTGCTAAAAAAAGATCATGCACACAGTTTTGACTCCAAAGTTAGAATAACAATACTTACTGGGAATTTGTCACATGTCAAGTACTTTGCAAAACTGTGTACATATATTACCTCATAAAACTTCCCCAAGTCCAATAAATAGAAATTGTCAAATTCTTTATTTGGGTGAAAAAAAAAAATGAGATTGATAAAGATAACTTGACCAAAGTCACACATTAAAATATATATAAAATTGTAATGGAAACTGCTAATTGTCTTTCTATGTTCTATGAGTTTTAGCCAGACAGATATTCACAGTAATAATGACTTTATTCCCATCCTCTGTTGAAACTAGGTATTGCCATTTGACTGTATTCTGGCCAATGGAGTCAAAGTCAAAGTGGAAGAAAATGACCCTATAGAAAGAAGATGTGTTCTCTTTCTTTTCTGCTTTTCTGATGCTGTAAGACAGATGTCACGGCTAGATCTCCAGCAGCTATCCTGAGTCATGAAGTAACCTTGGGAATGACAGTTGAACACAATGGAGCAATATGCCATAAGAACCCCGAGTCCTTGGTCCTTGTGCAGAACCTTGCACCAGTTTACTCACCCCATTTACTACATAGAAATTCCCTGTTTCGGAAACTCAGCATCTTGTCTAGAAGAAACCAAAGTTTCCAAAAGCTGGGAATCCATTTCCACTTCATTAAGGACAAATTCAAAAGCACTTTTCTACTTTCACCCTGCAGGCTTGTTTTTAATTTAAGTCTGCAATACGGGGGGAAAAAAAACATAATCCAATGAGCATTGTCTCATTTCTTATTTAAAATACCAAGATCTATTCAGAACGGAATAATATAGAGAAAACAGCAAAATAATCTTATTAGAACTTGGTCAGACCTTGACCCCAGCGGGAGTTCTCCGTACAAATCTCAAATCCAATCCCCGGGAACAGGTCTGGAAAGGCCCAGTGGAGCCCGAAATCAGTGTCTATAAAGATTCAGGTTGTTAATGGGATATAGGTTCAGTTGCCCATATCTGTTTTCACTATTTTTTCTATCATTCTTAGATAAAATAAGGCTCAAAGGATTTGTTTTTAAGGTAGAGGCCCTTGGACCTCCTGTTCGAGTCTTTGGTGGGAGCTCCAGCATCTCCTTGGCTCGAAATGGACCCCAACTGCTCCTGCACCGCTGGTGTCTCCTGCACGTGCGCCGGCTCCTGCAAGTGCAAAGAGTGCAAATGCACCTCCTGCAAGAAGAGCTGCTGCTCCTGCTGCCCCGTGGGCTGTGCCAAGTGTGCCCAGGGCTGTGTCTGCAAAGGGGCGTCGGAGAAGTGCAGCTGCTGTGCATGATGTGGGGACAGCTCTGCTCCCAGATGTAAATAGAGCAAACTTCACAACCTGGATTTTTTTTTAATACAACCCTGAGCCATTTTCTGCATTTCTTTTTATATTAAATATGTGATTGTTTTATTGTCATAAAAGAATTTTGAAAAAAAAAAAAAAAAAAGGTAGAGGCCCTTTTTCTACTGCCTCTTCTCTGCGAAAGCAGATAGCTCTGTGGCATATTTGACTTAATAGAGCTACTGCTTTTAATGTATTAATCCTTGCAAATAAAAATTGAGTTAAGTCAGCCTGTCTGAAATGGAGCCTCCAAAACAATGAATAACAAATATGCAGTAGATGTCATAACCCAACAGTCTGGCAGTGTGCACTTGTCTTCATTTGTAAAGTCTCTTTATGTTCACATATATCTGAGGGGCCCAACCAGGGTTACAACAAAAATTAACCTGTCAAGAATTGCCCTCATTCTCAGGAGCTTAAGATTACAGTCCGGTTTCCAGTTTTTTTAATTTTTAGAGCACCAGATGACCTATTTCTACAGTAAACACATCTTTAAGACCATTAGAAAAGTTGCCCATATTGGTATGGATGTAAGCCAAATTAAACTGAAAGACATAATACGAGAATTTCCGGGTGATGGTTTTATTTACTTGCATATAATCATCCTCTCATTGTATTGAAATTACTGCTACTATGGTAAGTGACAATGTGCTGAGTTCAGCTCTTTTCAACTAATACGAATACTCACATGCTTCACAAAGACTTTTCAGATTATTGTGTAGGCTCAGTCCTCTCCTCACATGCATTTGAGAAAACATATATTCCTGGTCACATGGGAGGAGCAAAATATGTTTATTTTAATAAACATATTAAACATAAAAAAATTTAAAAAATGTTTATTTTTCTGAATATATGCCTGAATAGATGCCTTCTCAGTTTAAATTTGTGGAAAGTTTTTTTTTTTTTTCCTCTCTTAATACTTGGAGATGAAGCATTTGGGGGAAAAAAGGTCATGTACTTGCAAAGAAGGATTGCAAGGGATATAAACTTTAGCAGACTGGCTCACCAAATAAACATAAAACAAGTGCTTTATGATAAAATTGTAAAATATTAACCAGATTACTGAGTTTAGACTTAGTTTACTCATAGTAGAAAATAATTTTCTCTCATAAATATCATACCTACAAATGTCTTCATATCATCAGATATCTGCATTGCAAAATTCAGGTATACAGTTGTTGTGTTAGGAAGTCACAAAGTTAAGGAAAATGCCAGAAATTTTATTTATTTGGAAGATTAGAACTAGATAGGAAATATGCTTTGTTGCTGCTGCTGTTGCTGTTTGCTTTTTCTCTTTTTTTAAATTTTTGGATTTATTTCCAGATTCACAGGGGTCATTTTCTCTGTTACTCAGAAGTGAAGTTCTCACTTATCCACAATGGCAGCAAAGAAGAGAAGAAGAATGACATTCAGAGTAGTTTGAAGAAAAGAGGATAACCAAGGAAATGAGGCAACAAATGGCGTATAAAAAAATTCAGTATTATCAGAAATACAGAGTAAGAAATAAATGCAAGAATATAATCCCCTGTGAAATTCCAGAAATGTGGGACAGGATTGAGACTTCCCACAAAAGGTAGACTGGAGACTTAAGCTATTTATTTGCATATGAATAAACGGAAATTCCACTGGAGCACTTAGGGATTAGACCATTATTCTAAGTGAAGTAACTCAGGAATGGAAAACCAAGCATCCTTTATTTCCACTCATAAATGGGAACCAAGCTATGAGGATGCAAAGGCGTAAGAATGATACAATGGACTCTGGGGATTCTGAGGAAAGTGTGGGAGGGGAGTGAAGGGTAAAAGACTATACACTGGATACAGTGTCCACTGCTGAGGTGATGGGTGCACCAAAATCTTAGAAATCACCACCGAAGAACTTACTCAGGTAACCAAACACCACCTATTCCCCAAAAACCTATTGAAATTTTTAAAAAGGAATATTAGGGAGCTACAAAAAATATGCTTTCAAAGAACATTTAATGATATGGAAAAATTATAAAATCAGATACAAAAACTGCATATACAGAATAATCCCAATTATATATAAAAATATACTCTTGGGAAAATGGAAATATGTCTAAATATCAACAGTATAGTATTCTTGGGCAGCAGAATCAAGGGTGACTATTTTCTCCCTTATATATTTCTACATTTTCCAAATTAAAATATATAGTCATTGATTAAAAAAAATACTGAATCAGACAAATCGAAATCAAGAACTGTTTTATAAAACAAGTGGCATATACTCTTCAAAAATATCAATGTCATGAAAGAAAAGGGAGCTAGGATATTATTCCATAGTAAAGATTAAAAAGGCTTGACAACTAAAACAACAAAAAATACATGTTTTAGAACCAGACTTCTGAAGATAATCTCTAAAGCCAAAGGGGCCTTGTACACAAATCATCAGAGAAGATTATATTTTTGGAAAGCAGAGAGAAGGATGTTTATTGCCCTTTATCTTATTGCATAAAAAAATCTATCTTGCAAATTCAAATATGCCTTATAATAACAAAAAAGCCAAATCTCTCTTTAGAAGAATTGCCCTAATGTGCACCCTGAGCTGTTCTTCACTTAATGATTTTTTCGTCATCACTCAAGGATGGTGTTTTCTATCTCCACAAGTAAAATTAAGCATTTCTTCCTTTGTACATGGTATTTGTGTGGTAGGAGTCCACAGAAGAGAAGGAAATTGGACAAGGTATATTAGTTAACATGATGTCTTGCTGCTTAACCAGACATTTCTCAGTGGCTTAGCACGATTTACTGGAAATCTATATGGAGTCCATCCTAGTTTAATGGAGTGTGTATAGTGGAAACTTCCACTCTGGGTCTTAGGGACCTAGGTTGTTTCCATTTTATGAGTATGTCATCCCTAAGGGCTTCAGAATTCTTTGCCATGTTCTCAGAAGCTGGCCAGGAGATGGAGGAAGAAAAGATCATGCACAGAGAGACTTCATGGTACCAGCCTTGGAGTGGCATATCCTTCCAATGATATTTCATTGGCTATAACTCACTCACATGACCCAACCTAAGTGGCCACAAGGAAGGATGGGATATGTAGTCTAGCTATTCATCCAGAAAGAAAAATAAATGACTTTTGTAAACATCTGGCTAGTCTCTGCCAAAATGTGCACGCCATTAGCTGCAACACAGCTTCTTTCTTCTTAGACATACATATTTAATCACTTTTTACAAAATGCCTTCAATTTCTGGAATAAAAGACATATTTGTAGTCAAATCTAATAACTAAAAAAGTTCCACCAGCAGCCATACTATGTAATCATAGCTGTTTTGAATATTTCCTGCCTCTGCTCACCTCTTTTAATACTGACTGCACTCAGATTTTGAAGGATGTATTTAATAAAAGGACATCTGGCTCCTTCTAATAACTAAATTATCAAAATTTTATGCATGTATGTCATACCCTTGTGTGTTTACTTTGAAATAGGTTCAAGTGAAGTTCATTTGGACAGAAAATGGACAGAAAAGCCATAATGACTTTATGCATTAATTAGCCTGGTCTAATGGTGATAGCATTGAATGAATCAGCAGTCCTGCTTATAATCCCTTTATGACCCAGCTTGGCCACCGGCTGTAGTTTTGAAAACTCAGGGCTCATTTTCTCTAGTTGTCATACAGAAATGATCCTAGGTTATTACAATTCTCTAAGCTCTAAAATGTGACAAACTCCAATGCTGCTGAAGATCTGCAGTGACTCAAGAGTGTAGCAGAGTGGAAGCACAAAATGTTACCCCAGGAGCTGGTGTTTCAAAAGGCTAGACTCATACCTACAACTAAAATGGTGTTTCAACCTTTGAATCATCTGGTTAAAAAGGCTTGGTGTCAGTGCTCAGGAATCTGCATTTTAAATGCTTTGAAGCCAGTTCTACCTGTCCCACAGTAGAATGATGAATCTACATTTGCTCCAAAATGGAGTGTGTGCATGCACTCATGCATAGATCATCCATTGGACTAGAATAAGAGAAGAAAAAATGGAAACCACTAAGTATTTTCAATTTTTATGTTAAAATAAGAATGAAATTAAACTCAGCTAATATTTAATATAATGCTTGATGCTGTCATGTTTACTCAGTTCCCTCTAACATAATGGAGAGAATTATCCTGAGGGGAAAATGGGAGTCCTACAGCTTAGAAGGGACCCAGTTAAGTGGATTAATGGATTATACTATCTGCTTCTTATTAAGGCAATTCTTACAAAAATGGGAAGAAGTCTTTAAAAGATTCTTCCAAGAAACCAGGGGTTATGTGTGTATATATACACACATATATATACATATATACACACATATATATATATGTTATGTTCAACCCATGATTGATCACTTGTATATATATGTGTGTGTGTATGTATATATATACACATACACAGTATGTTACCTAGCAAGTATTTGGGGGAAAAAATAAAGGTTTTTCTTTCACTTCTTTAATGTAGGAAGGCTTTTTTTTTTTTTTTTAACAATTGAAGAAGTAATTGCATTTCTAAATAAATCTGGGCTATGGGAAGATCATTCTGAAAATAGATGTTTGGAGAAGTTTCCATTACTACATGATTCTGATGCAGAAAGCAAGTCATATGTGCAATGTATAAAATCTCTGAAAAAAATTACTCTGTGTAAAGGTTAATTTTACATGCCAACTTTCTTGAGTTAAAGAGATACCTAGATAACTAGAAAGCATTATTTCTGGGTGTGTATGTGAGGGTGTTTCTGGAAGAAATTAGTATTATCCTTCCTCACTGATATGGACAGGTATCTTACCATCCATTGAGGGGCCAGATACAACAAAAAGGTGGAAGAAGCACATCCATTTTTTCTGCATTTGGACATCAGAACAGGTTCCCAGGCCTTCAGACTCTGGCTGAACTTCACTACTGACTTTCCTGGTTCTCTAGCTTGCAGATGGCATATAGTAGGACACCTGGCATTTATAATCTTGTGAGCCAATGTCCCTAATGACTCTCCTCTTATATATGCAGTCGACCCTCCCTATCCATGGGTTCTACATTCATAGATTCAACCAATCACAGATGAAAAATATTCAGGATAAAAAAGGATGGTTGCATCTGTACTGAAC